TTTCAACAAGCGGGCCTGACCTAGGGTGAATTTTAAATAGGGATAATTTTTAATGATTTTAAATAGTCACAGCCACTAATATTTGGGTTTTAATTGGTTTTTAGAAGGGGTAATTTTGTATATTGTTTTAACATGCTGTGAGCCGCCCTGAGTCCCATGGGGAGAAGGGCGGCATATAAATTTTGTAAAATAAAATAAATAAATAAATTGTTCTGCTATAATCTGGTGAACTGAAAAAGCCCTTACAACAACCAATTAAACATAGGATTTACAGTTCGCACAACAAAATATAACTGTTAGCATAATTGTTAGCAAAACCACATTAATAACACATTAAAAGAACTGAATATGTATGAGATTTGGTTAACCATATTATTTGCATAATTATACCAAATGAAAATATAAACTAAGAGCTACAGAGCTTTATTGCCATAAAAACCTGTTTAATTTCAGCATTAAGTAATCTTAATATTTTGCATTTAAAGCATTTTATCTGGATATTGACTATTTTTTATTTCCTGTTTATTTAGTGTATAATTTTTTTCAATACAGAGCAATAAAAAATAAGAAACCTCAACTCTTTATTCCAATTATACCTTTGAGCTTTATACTTGCCAATCAGTATGATAAAGGGTATGGAACTTTACTACAAAGAATGAAATGTAAGTACAGTAATCTCTTTGCACAAATGTAGTATCATTGATTATCTCTGGTCTTACAAAACTGATGCAATATATACATGAATCCATCTTTTTCTTCAGCTGAAGCAGAGAACATAATTGACACAGAGTATGCGATGATAGAAATGCCAAAAGGAGCTATCACTTTCGATGATCTTGAAAAAGCCAGAAGAGCACAAAGCAGATTTTTTATTGAGAAATAAAATAGGTATGCTTATAATCACATTGCTGATACAAGCATGGTATGTGGAACCTTTTCCGAAACTTGGAAAACTTGAAAAGTTCATCATCTTGTCCATCAGAAAAGGAATATAAGGGTGCTAAAACCAGATCCTCACTCTCCATCCCAAACAAAGAGAGTCTTATTTTTAACTATTTTAATTAGGAGCAGGAACAGTTTCTGTTGATGATCATTGAAGCAAATTGTACAACCTGACTAAATAAGGTGACATTTTAAAAAAAGTATTGCCTGTATATACCTGCTTTAATAAATAAAACCATTTAATATAATACAAATTCTATTTTTCATTATTTTTAAACTACTTTTATTTTTTATTCATTTTATTATCTCATTCTTTTCCGTAGGCTGACCTTGATACCCTTTGTGGGTATCTATCATAATAGATCATGAAATACACAGTAATGACAGAGAAGGGAACGGAATAAAGACACTGTTACTAAAAATAAATCCTACCAACAACCTGTATGATCCTTGTGCACAGAGTACTCAAGTTACCTTGCAGTATTTTCATAGAAAGGTGCAGCTGCTTTCTAAACTGATGTTTAAGTTTTCCTTGCACTTCCTAGGGCTCAGGACAAACAGTAAGTTCAGAAAATGAACAGAGTGGTCTGAGAGTCATTTTATTGACCTTGTGGGTTGATTTGGAACACATAAGATATTTGCATCTGGAAACAAAAACCACCTTTTCATCTGAAGGTTCTTTTTACATCAGCACCTTGTTCTAAAAGGACTTCAAGAATAATTAATTGAACTGTTAGGAATTTTGACCCATGAGCATGCAATCACAACCACAACATATGTGTGCAACGCTTTGCAGCTTTGAGGATGGGTTGTAAAGGCACTTTTTAAAACTCCATTGTAACCCTAGAATGGTTGTTAAGCAAGTGGTTACGACTTGTACTTGCAGCAGTAGACTGGGAGATTATCTGGGATGTTTTTGTTTCCACAGGTACCAACTAGTTTTCCAGTTTTTATTGTTTGTGATAGGCCACCAGGATTCACTGGTAGATGTGGGTGCTTGGAGCACAGGTGCGCCATTTGCACAGTTAGCAGCAACAGCAGCAACAGCCCTGGCTATTAGGGGACAGATTACCATTTTTTTCACCATTTTTGTCAAAGTGTGTTGTGTCGTTTGATCCTGAGGACGTAATATGTACCTTGCCTCTCTGTCTGAAGCTTTAGGGCTCAACAGTAACTTTTTTATATACTGGTGCAATGATTTTCATTTATATCTACCTAATATTTGGATAGGACCTGAATAATTAAAATTCCTTATGGTTAGTAATAATTTATTTTCCTTTTTGGTACAATATTTTAACAGAAATTTCCTCTTATACTGGAATTCTTATAAGCCGTACAGTTATTTGAATTATTTATTTTCCATAACTTATCCATCATACAGCATTCACTGAATTGTGGTAAACTATTAATACATATTAGCTATCCAGATGAAATAAGTCACTCAAAGTTTCTATGAATTCTGAGTGCATACAGCATAGGTCAGGGGTAGGCAACCTTGGCTCTTTTATGACTCGTGGACTTCAACTCCCAGAATGCCAGAGCCAGCTAAGTCCACGAGTCACAAAAGAGCCAAGGTTGCCTACCCCTGGTATAGGTAGTGTTATGACCACAATTGAGGCCAAAGTTTTCTCACTAAGTGAGACATTGTTAAGTGAGTTTTGTCCCATTTTATAACCTTTCTTGCCACAGTTGTTAAGTGAATCACTGCAGTTAGTAGCACAGTTCTTAAGTGAATCTGGGGCTTCTCCATTGACTTTTCTTGTCAGAAGGTAGCAAAAGGTGATCACATGACCCTGGGACTCTGCAACTGTCATAAATACGAGTTGCCAAACATCTGAATTTTGATTAAGTGACCAAGGTAATGCTGCAATGCTCGTAAGTGTGAAAAATGGTTATAAGTTATTGTTTTCAGTGCCATTGTAACTTCAGTCATTAAATGAACTCTTTTAATTTGAGGACTACCTGTAAGTTATCTTAAATGCACATTATTCATTTGGTGTACAAGATAATTAAATTACAACCTATACCTCCAACATGCCAAACAGCTGAATTATGTTTATAATACTAATCACAAATTATTGCTTTTATCTATGCTGGCCTATCCACTTAGTTGTCTGCTATAATTACACTGAGCAAATGAAAAGTAAAAACATATCAGCACCCCCAATTGGTTTACTTTAATAGTAATCAATTACATTTATGTATTTAATATCCCTGCCTTTATTAATTTTATAAGGCAAATATGCATAATACTCCTTCCTCCTATTTCCCCACAACAATCTTGTGAGGTGGGTTAGGCTGAGAATGAAGATTGGCCCAGCCATCCAGCTGGCTTTCTTGCCTAACCTGTTAATTAATGAAAGTTAGCTACATACCAAATTAATCTGTTGCACAACAGTTGCAGAGGTCAGGTCTCTTTCTATTCATTTCTTGCAAAAGTAAAAATCTGTTCTCGCATCTGTAGAAATAAGATGTCAGAATTGTCCCAAATATGTAAACCATCATAGGTGCTAATTATATACTGTATAGAGCAATTGAATGGGATGTCTTTTGTCCATAACTCAGTGGCCTTGGATCAGCTTTTTTTTTATACTTGCAATACAGGAATAAAATAACAGTCTTGAGTATAGTGTTGCTGTGTGGTCTTATAATAAGGATCTTGAATACAGTGTTTCTCTGTAGTTTTACAATGAAATAATAGGTGGAACATTTTGAAGTGTTTAAATATATGACATATATATGAGGTTTTTTCTTTCTTTTTTTTAGGAAATCAGTCAGGTAGAAGAGAATCAATATTTTTACCCAGTTCAATCACTCTGTTTACGATCACTTAATTTAGTGCTTTTTGAGTTCAGCTGCATGTAGCTTGGGCTAGACCAGTGGTTCTCAACCTGTGGGTTGGGACCCCATTTGGGGTCGATCGACCATTTCATGGGGGTCGCCAAGCAAGGCTGTCCGCCATTTTTTTTGTCCGCCATTTTTCCCCCTTTTCCGGCGGGTGCCTTACCTTCCTTGGGCTGGGCCAGCTGGTAGTCGGCCTGCTCTGTCTCTGCCGCTTGCCAGCTACGCTTCGGCCGGCGCAGGGGGCGGAACCACGCATGCGCGGCGCTCCTGGGCAGGGAAAGTCCTCGACTTACAACCGGTTGGGTAGTCCTCGACTTACGACCAGTTTAGTCCTCGACTTATGACTGGTTTAGTCCTCGACTTACGACCGGTTTAGTCCTCGACTTATGACCGGTTTAGTCCTCGACTTACGACCAGTTGGGGTCGCGGCATTAAAAAGGTTGAGAACCATTGGGCTAGACTCATGGATGACACTAGCCTTCTGTTGGTTTCTGGAGAGCTTTCCCAGGACGTCCGGATTGACAGGGCTTCCCTCCTTCTTTGCCACCTCTCTGGGGTGGCTTTTGGTCCATTTAGGGTCCCCAGAGAGAAATCAGCCGTAGGGCGCGGATCCCCACAATCCCTCAGCTGTCGCGCTAACTGCACAGAACCGGAAGCCAGCTTGCAACCTTTCCTGTTGGCTTCCCCACTGACTTTCTTGGGAAGCTGGCAGAGATTATAAATGACTATCACATGATCATGCAGTTTGGTGGCAACCAGCCATTAAGTGTGAACAGGCTGCCAGTGACCCAGTACATAGTCATGTGACTTGGAGGGTGGAGGAATACTTTACAACAGCCAGAAGTGCCTTATGGGCCATAAAGCATCTTTTCTGAGGACACTGTAATTTCAAATGACTAGTTGTAAGTCAAGGATTACCAGTATTTTGACCCCTAAAATCATGTCCAAAGAACAGGTCAAAATCTTCAGCCCAACATAGCATTGGAAGGCTAGATTCTTTAAATGGGAAGCAGGATATACATTGTTCAAATCTGCCACTTCCTCAAGTCTTTTTTTTCTCTTGTATTTCAAAAAATGTCCATTTGTAGATACTTTTATGATCAGTCGATTCTTCTATAAAATTTCTGGATAGGGCTACACTCTTTCATAGCACAGATCTGGATCATCACCTTTCATTTCAGCAGTGAAATAGATTTCAGTTTTGCAAGTTAAGAAAAGGAATCAAAAATTATTGGAAAAATAAGAGGAAATGTACAGTTTTAAAAAATATTTAATACTCTGTTATCTTAGTATACATTTAAAGCAAATTATTCTGAATTCTATCGTACTGGACCACAGACCAATTAGCAAATAAAAATACAGAAGTGTTTTACAAAATACAATCTATTTATATAAAATGGTATAGATTAAAAAAAGTTCTAAAAAGCAGTAGTTATATTATCACTTTACTTAATGGCAGCAGTCTTGTCTATGCAGCATTTTTTTCTTAAAGCAAGTCACAGCAATAATTGGTATCATGGTAAACCATTATGATAAAGTAAATAGCGCTCTGGGAAAGGAAAAAAAAAGAGAAGATTTGTAGTACCCTTTTATATTAACACACTTTATTAAAACATATTTGCTTTTGTAGGCTACAGCTCACTTCATCAGAAGCATGGAGTGAGCTGTAGCTATAGAAGCTAAACTTTTTAATAAAATCTGATAATCTGAAAGGTAGCTTCTAGATTCCTCCTGATTTTTGGCTATCATAGACTAACACAGCTCTCTTCCTACAGTGGAACAGGAAAATAACTGAGAACACTATTGATACACAAATAGTATAATGTTTAAATGATATGTACAAAACTGTTATCACAGAATTACATATTTTTATTTGATTGACTGGTTATTATAGTTTTTGAATTGTGTGAGCAACTAATAATCTGAAAGCACAAATAAATCAAGACCTCATGCATAAGGACAGGAACCACAGATGCAAGAGCTCAGCAAACATAATTTTTTGAGAATCTTCCTCTCTTGAAAGCCTCCTGTGTCTTTTAAAACCTTGAATCGGAACACTTTTAAAGTAGTCTCCAATCCAGTCTGAAATACTGTATCCAGAAACTTCCTTGAATATATGGAAATATTTGTGCCAAAAAACAGAATCTGCTTGAATTTCCATTTAAACAGAGCCAAAGTGAAAGGGATAAAATGAAAAAGAAATTTGGACAATGCTTTACTTTTGACAGCAGAGTCCTATCATGTTCACTTAGAAATAAATCTAAGCTCAAAAAGTTTTATTTTGTGCAAGTGTTTATATGGCTGCAACAATGGAAATTCAAAATTGAATAGGTTTCAAACTCTTAAAGCACTTCAAATATTTGTCAAATATTTGAAATTCCTTATATCAGAAAACTAGAATATTCCAATTCTATTAGAGCAAACAAAAAAAAATCACTTGAAAAAAATAAGTATGGAAGAACTTTTCTTTGCATTACACAAAATTCCCTGAGTTTTCTTCCTTTATATGGAATATGAAATCCTCGATCAGATGAATGCAGTTCAATAACAAGACCGATATTAAACCTGATGCCTCGTGTTGTTTTCAATCTGATGCTCCGATAATTTGGTTAACAGGGGAATCCCACCACCAAGCATTTACCACAATATTCCACAAAACCAAAATGCAGTTTCTATACAATAAATTTTATATCAATGTACAAATGTGCACCGTATCATCCAAAGCCATTAAAAATATACAGTCAAACTCTCTTAAAATGCTAGTGGAAAAAAAATTCAGCCGTCAATAACAGGATAACAGACATTTTACAAAATGTAACTATTTACAATTTCATCCTTCCTGCCCCTGGTTGCTTAGCATAATTTCCTACTCTTTAAAATAAAATTAAGGTTTTACCTGAGCAAATTAGATACTGGGATGGCTCCTCTCATAAAGGGACTTCCTATCACCTCCCATCAATAGAACTACGGTTTGTGCATGGATTCTCCAAAATACATGGATCTTGTCCCCTTACCAGTGAGCCAGACTGAGGAAGCTGGCATATTTAGGAAGGGGAGCTTCACATATATGCCAGGCCCAGTCAGTCCACTTTGATATATATATGCTAGTGCTCATAGCGGCACAAACAATTTTAAACTGGCACCCATAGGCTGGACATCTGCATTCCGAGGTACTTGTTTAATTCCATATAAGATTGCTGTACCTTCTTCTATGCTTGAGGTAGGTAGGTAAGTAAACTGACTAGAGACTTATAGAATATGGCCACCTACCCTACATTTTGCTAAAAATGCATTTCAAGTTTTAATTTGGCTTCTGTAGCAAAGAACCACTGCTTCTTTGACCAAACTTACTCTTTCGATATTAGGAATTTAACTGAGCTCAAATTTGCTTAAGAGAAACTTTACATTTCAAATGCAAGACTTGGTGGTCAAACTATGGAACAAGGTATTCAATTCACTTGCTTTCCTCTGAATTTTTATGGCCAGTCCTTAAGTTAACATAGAGTTTGAAAGCGCAAGAGTGCCAGAAACAGCTTACTATTTTGCAAACATGAAGTTGTGCCACTGATACTGACAAGCATAAATCTGCAGTAACTAACCCTTATTTCACAATGTAGGCAGTATAATCGCAACCAATTCCTATTACATGGCTGAAGTTACATATAGCCAAATCATACAATAACCCAAGAAAAGATGGGCCATGATTATCCTGTAACATCACAGACATACTTCTCCTTTCAGGTGAGTGAATCATCCTATAAAAGTTAAGGAAATAACAAGACTAACAAGGATTAAGCTGCTACAATATGGTTCAATCTTTGCACCTTTAGGAGACATAGTTAAGCTTTACAAATCCACGAACACAAAGGTAGGAAAATAAACAACTATATGCTTATTTAAAAAGGCAATTTTAATAAGTTTTCTTTTAAAAAAATACTTATCTGTTTCCCCCCCACACACACACAAAATATATACAGTGCATTATACTGCCTCAACAGGCACATCTGCTTTTGCTGACCCACCACTGGCTCAGATAGGCATATAGTTGCTCAATCAAGTACTAAACATATTATTTGTTCTCGTCACTGGAGCCACAACACCTTGACATGGTGAAAACTAGCTAAACTAACATTAAAAAAATGTAAGCCCTTGTGTAAGCCATGAAAAAGCATGAGGAACCATTTTGTTTCCTATAGAAAAGGCAAACAGGAATTCCAGGGAGCTTTTTGGAATGTAATCCACAGGCACTCAGAATTGCCTTATGAATTCTGGCAGGAAAGAGATGTCTTTTGCATTTTGCAAAAGTTTTCTTTTTTGAATGCCACATTGAACGTATGGGGATCTTCCATGCTATAAAGGCAACTCCAAGAACCAGATGTGCTATCTTCTCCTCTTATCTTGAGAGCTCTTTGCTTCTCCACCATATCTTTTTATGTTTAATGCATATTCTCAAAAGAACTGCATAATCATACATAAGAAATATGCAACAGGCAAATGAACAAATTAATCTCATCTACTTTTGGGAAACACAATGGACAAATGGAGACTAAAAAAAAGATTGGAAATCATTTTGTTCTAATCAGTACAATCAGTACAATCAGTGATCAAGACCACAGCATGAATCTGATGTCCACAGGCATTGCTAAGCTTTAATTCAAACATTTGTTCCTCTTCAAAGTGATGCCTTTAGGAATGTGATTTTTTTTAACAGTTGTGCTGAAGATGAATAGTACACATTCTGCAGGTAATCTACTGTTTAAGAGCACAATTCCACTTTCTTAGAATAAGTCTCAAGAAATTAGTAGGGCATAGCCCATGAAAGAGAGGGTATAGGATTGCTGCCTAAATTTTGTTCGGCTCAGAAAAGAAAAATTCTGTAGACCAACTCTCCACCTTTCCATGACTTTTCTTCTTGACGTTTTGATTTGCAAATCCGTATTAGGTGATACTGACTAACTACTGTTTTACTCTTTTAAAAAAGGAACTTTTTCTATCAAAGTGCTTTCCATTGGTGCATTGTGATAGCATTCCTGATGAAGGAGCTAAAGCAGAGATCTTCACCGTTTGTAAGTTTTGATGGGATGATTTCCTCAAAGTCTCCACCTTCAAGGATAGGAAGAAGATGTATGAGAAGGCCAATAATCTGCAACTGCCGAAGGAGCAAAGTACATTTGCTCTGCATGTTTTCATGTCCCTTTGAATCAAGGTCAATATTTTCATCCGCCCAGGCCTTCCCTTATGACATCCACTCTCAAAGCAAGATCCCTAAAAGATGGCCGCTGACTTGCACTATTATTCCAACACTCTGCCATGATGATATAAACCTTGATAAGAGAAAAACATCAGTATGAGATAACAATAACATCAATAATAACAATCCATTAAAAATCCTAAGGAGCTGTTTATTTTATCTCGACTATTAATAACCTTGGAACCAAAGACACTGAACACTTTGGTATACTATACATTATCTCATATAAAAACCTTACTCTCTTAGCATCTTATACTAAATGCATCTAATTCATAGGCATACAATTCCTTCATGAGGCAAGAACAAGACTGAGGAACTGGCTTAGTCTACATCAGGGGTAGTCAACCTTGGCTCTTTTATGACTCATGGACTTCAACTCCCAGAATTCCTGAGCCTTTCTGGGAATTGAAGTCCACGAGTCATAAAAGAGCCAAGGTTGACTACCCCTGGTCTACATGATATATAATTTTATAGAAAGAGAATAAAATTTAAACTGTTCTATGGGAAAACCAGAAATCGATTACTTTCCCCAACTTTCCCCTATGTCTTTGTCGCCACCTTACCTATTAAATTTTTTTCTATTGCCAATGAGCCTGGTAATCATAATTCTAAACTACTGAGAAAAAAATTCTCATTCCATTTAGCCACGAAGTTTTATCAATGAAGTAAATTTGGGGAAGCTGTATTATACACTTAAGATCATTTCTTATTTTCAAAAGGGACATCTATAGTTTCTTTTGAGAATACTTTTATGATATTTTACATCTGGAAGTGAAAACAATCTTATTAGTGTCAAGTAGAGAAAATGTTATTTAACTGCTTTGTTATTATGGTACAATCTAAACATAAGGAAACATTTGTGACCATAAAAAATATCCACTGAATTCAAAATGCTCTGAATTCATTTTAGGAATGACTCTCGTTCAATGTATCTGGTGGTAGTAGATTTTTAAACAAAATATAGGAGGACCTCTAAGAACCAGGAAACTGAAAACAGCCCCAATTCTAGAGGGGACCATTGATTTCATCATCAATTATTACATTTTTAGGCTGCTACTTTGTTTCTAATTGAAACGGCTAATTAGAAATTAAACCACTTTTGATTTTGTAAGATGCCTGAGAGGTAGATGCTGATCACAAAACATCAGGTAGTCTTCATTTACAATCAGCACTGAAAAAAGACGACTTATATTCCTTGAAGCTGTTGTTGCAGCATCCCTATGGTCACGTGACTGTGATTCAGGTGCTTGGCAATAGGCTCACAATTACAATTGTTGCAGCTTCCTGAAATCACACGGTCATCATTTGTGACCTCCCCTGCTGGCTTCCCACAAGCAAAGTCAATGGGGAAGCTGGCAAGAGTTTGCAAGTTGCTCCCAATGCTTTTTCTCCCAAGGAGATTCTGGATGGCAGGAGATCTTATACTCTGTAGTGCCCATCCATAGCACTGCCCATAGCTCTTGCCCACGGATCTGCTTTGCTGGGATGTGGCCTAAACCATCCGAGACAGGAAGCGATGATGAGAGCACTCCTCAATGATGGTGCCCCCCCCTGCAGACTTCCCTCCCTGCACCTTCTGTTTTCAGTCAACCTCTCCATTTCACAGGGGTTCCTCGGGTCTGCAGCTCAGTAGGGAGAAGAAAACCGCCGAGCGCAGTAAGGGAAATAGAGAATTCACGAATGAGTAAGAACCATACAACCTGCACAATGTAGAATCAGTCTGAAAAACTGGGAGCCAAAAATCACGTCTTTTCTGGGCACAGACTAAGTCGTGACTGGGAGGTCTCCTGGCCCAGGAGAGGCATGGCAAGCTTGACAGACTTAGTCTAATTGGGCAGGAAGACAGAGTTAACCCATTCGTGGATTCTCCATCTTCATGCTGGAGAACGACTTATGCAGTCTTAGCTTAACAAATAGCAAGATTGCCTGGATTGCTGTCACTAAGTGATGCGATCATGTGACAATGCACTTCATGACTGAACCATTTAATAATGGAAAGCCCAGTCACAATGGCTGTTGTAACCTGAGGACTGCCTGTAGTCCAATGACAAGTAAATGCAAGCAATCTCTCTCTGATGAAACCATCACTACTAACTGCAGAAACAATACAGGCATTCTCATTGCGTGCAAGTTATAACCCAATACCTCATCAGGGCATCCATCGGGTCTCGGCAGCCTCCCATTATTCTTCAAAAGCTCTATCAAATGGAACACAATCATCTGGTTTTGCTTATCATTTCCAATCATGCGCATGAACTCCTGAAATAAAAATCCAAAACTGAACTGTTGTAACAATAGCATTCTAGAATTCTTTCTTTTCTTTTTTCTTTTTAAATTAAATTTGGATTATCAGGGCAAGTAATAAACACAGATGAAGCAACAATAAACTTAGGGACAGTGAAAGTTGCAATCATATCACCCCATCATAAATACATACTGGTTGCCAAGTGCCCAAATTTTGATCACATAGCTATGCAGATGCCACAACAGTTTTAAGTGTGAGGACTGGCTGCAAGACACTTTTTTCAGTGACATTGTAATTCTGAACGGTTGCGGAACAAATTAAGTCAAGGACTACCTATAATTGCACTTAGCGGTAGCAGCCACCAATGTGTCCGATAAAGAAAGCAGGCTCTTTGCACTGGTTACACTTAAAAATAAACTTTACTTGGTTCTTCCTCTCTTTGAAATTTTTCCATTCAATCTGGTAATTTTATACATGTTATAATTTTAAGTGTTTGAGTTTCACAAATCCTTGCCTTTCTTTTCTCCCATATTCTCTTTTTTTCCCTTGCATTTGTCTCTTGAACACAAGCTAAAACACATTTCCGGCAAGCTGTTTTGGAGATTTTTTCAACAAAGAACTGAGAAAAAGTGCTTCAAACAAATAAATAATACTTTTGTATTATGTGCTTCAGATGTGATTCTTCATTGAGTCTCCTGTTATTATTTGATTCAAGCTACTTTTGGTGGTGTGGCAGAAACATGTAAGGAAGTAGAGCGTGTTGCCAAGAAGCTAATCTTTTAAGTCAAGAAGATAACTACAGCACTGTACTTTCACATATAAAAATGATGTGGGCATATATACACATTACTTACCGCTGGAGGGCTTTTATTCTTGTCTATATAAGTGAAGAGTTCATACAAAACCACACCAAAGCTCCACATATCTGAGGCCACAGAAAACCTGTTGTCTGTCAAAGATTCCAGAGCATACCTGCCACGTAAATTTAATAAATAAATACATAAAAACACCTGCAGGATAAAATGAGAGGGCTCAGAAATCTGCAAATGCAAATATTACTTTGAGCATAACCAGGTTGAGTGACTTTTTTATTGAGAAATTCATGGGAGTTAAAAGCCAGAAGTCTTACAAAATAATCTATTGCATCCTTCTAGTTTAGAATCTATTAGCAATCAGAAACATACCAAAATATAGGACTCTCTCCTGGTTCCTTTACTTTGTAATATTCCTTATCCTGTGGCAAAACCTTTGTCAAGCCAAAGTCTCCAATTTTCACTCTGCTTTCATTCTCCACCAAGATGTTCCTTGTTGCCAGATCTCTATGAACGTATCTTTTTGAACCCAGATACTCCATGCCCTATATATAGATGAAATTATGAAATCAAAATTAATTGGTTTAGTGAGTACCAGTTTATGAGTCATGTAACTTATTTCTGAATATTGGACACTTTTTTGCAATAATATCCCATTAAGCTGATAAAGAACAAGGCATTATAAAGTATCAAAAATCATCTTGCACTCTCAGGAGAATTTTTTTTTACAAGACAATATTGAACAGGAAGTTTCCTGAAGCTGATTATAACTCATCATTTTCTATTAATTACCACTACATGTCACCTTTGTCTTTCTTGTGTTGTTAGGCCAGAAGGATGAAATGATGAACTGTTTGGTTCTTAAGCTTGTTTCCATCATGCATTGACATGTATACATTACAACTGACTTTTACTATATTCTTCACATTCTAGGGCAGAATGAAGCTTGGGGGATCTCTAATCCAAATCTATCTATATCTATCTATCTATCTATCTATCTATCTATCTATCTATCTATCTATCTATCTATCTATCTATCTATCAATCTATCTATCTATCTATCTATCTATCATCTATCTATCTATCTATCTATCTATCTATCTATCTATCTATCTATCTATCTATCTATCTATCTATCTATCTATCTATCTATCCTTTCCTTTTCTTTCTTTTGTATGTTTTTAGTCAACTAGAAAATGGATATTAAATATTGGTATGAATTATTTAGGTGATTCAGATAAGAGCAGAAACAATTATTTCTGTTCCAGGATATCTTTCACTAGAAACCCATCCAAGTCAGAGTTTGGATCCTGTATGTAATTGTGAATGCAATACTGCTAAAATGAAATGAGTATGGGCTTTATGGTTTGTGGAAAATGAAATGAGTATGGGCTTTATGGTTTGTGGAAAAAAATCCTGTGTGTGTGTGTGTGTGTGTGCGCGCGTGTGTGTATGTGCATGTTTGTGTAAAATATAGCTGCCCATCTTTCAACCAACTGTGGTTGGCTCCCAATCAAAATAAGTGATCTACAACCATTCTTTTAGTGATTATTCAAAGTTACGATAACACTGAAAAAAGTGACTTATGGCTGGTTTTCACACTTATGACCATTGCAGCATCCCCATGGTATTGTGATCAAAATTAGGCAACTGGCATATATTTATGAAAGTTGCACTGTCTTGGGGTCATGGGATCAGTCTTCCCCAGTTGGCTTCTGAAAAGCAAAGTCAACGGGAGAAGCTAGATTTGCTTAATGACTGCATGATTCACTTAACAACTGCAGTGATTCACTAAACAACTGTTGCGTGATAATAAAATGGGGCATCTCACTTAACAACTTGCTTACTAATGGAAATTGTGGTCGTAGATTGAGGACTACCTGCATTAAAAGGCTACTTCAGGAACAAATGAAGTAAGAAGTATCACTATCAAGGGCAGAGAAAAATCAGTTGATGCCTAGGATAATCCCACTCTACACTTGTAATCAGATTACAAACAGCGTTCATCATTATTACATTATAGAACTTAACCTTTTTTCTCTGACCGCTATAGAAATGCCTTCCCTCTCCCATCATCAGTCAAATGAAGAGGAAACTAGTGCATTCAACTGCTTTTCGCCATTAAAAACTAGCATATGTCAAGAAACAAGATGTAAAAAAAAAAAAAGCAAACAAGAGGAGTCATGACTGTGTTATGAAAAAAAGATTGATTAAAGAAAGGGAATGGATTGATTTTGTGCCACTGATGAGGAAAAAAACATTTCCCTACAAGAATAGTTCATGCCTAGAGTTTGTGGAAAACAATGAAGACTGTAATTCAATGTAATCCCATAGTAGGTTTAGTAGGGTTAATTAATGTATTACCTTACATATCTGAGAAGCATACTGTAGGAGTTTCTTATGATCCAACCTGTCCTTGTGTTTCTGGAGATAATCCCGTAAACTTCCATAGGGTAAATATTCCATTATCAACTTCAGATTTCTCCGTCCTTTCCAAACAAACATAAATATTTAGAATTATAGTTTAAAGTGACTTCTTCATATATAGTACTGAAATTCTCTTGCATAAGGTTACGTCTGACATGATTATGGCCAGCAAACATGTTTCTAAAAAAGAAGGGAAGAATCACAATGATTTTGTCCCTTCAGATAGAGGCTTGTTGTAATCCAAAACACCAATGCTGGATGAACCTTAATATATATTAAAGCTTCAGAACATTACACTTAAAGCTCTAACTCTATGCAACTATTCCATGCCAACACAACAGAAAACAGCAATTAATTGAACCATGGCTCAATAACTAAGGGCATTATATTATCCATGTGCTTATCGTTCCAAATACAACTTTCAATCCTGAGCCAGCCAAGGGAGGCTGTCGAGATTCTGTCCCAGTGCTTGGAGGCTGTTTAGGTTTGGATGGATAAAAACCATCTCCGATGCTACTAAGACCAAGTGGTAGTGGGTGTGTGGGTCACCCAGATCTCATGATATTCTATGTTTGATCTTGGATGGGGTTGCACTTCCCTGTCCAAGAGTGTTAGGTGATCTGAAGGATCTTTCTGGATTCACAACTCTGGCTTGTTGAGTAGGTAGCAATTGTGGCCAGGAAGGCCTTTGGAATTTCATCTGCTGGGCCAGTTTTGTCCTTTCTTGGATCAGATAGTCAACTCATGCCCTAGTCACTTCACTGCTGGTCTACTGCAATGTGTCCTATGTGAGGTCTTCCTTGAAGACCACCTACAAGTTTCAACTAGTGCAAAATACAGCAGCATGGGCAGCATGCCTCAGTATGCCCATTTAACACCTCTGTTTTGTGATCTGCACAGGTTGCCAGTTTGGTTCCAGATTCAATTCAAGGTGCTGATTGTTACCTATACAGTTCCACATGGCATGGACCTGGGTTCTTGAGGGACCACTTGTCTTCCAGAGTATTTACCCTGACAATTCAATCTAGCAAAATTGGCATGCTCCAGTTTCTTCAATTAAATAATGTAATCAATAGGGACTCAGGAAGCGTACCCTCTCTGTAGCAGTGCCTGCCTCTAGAATGAGGTTCCCCCAGGCATCAAATGACGCCCATTGTCCTGGTGTTTAAAGGCTCTAAGTGAATCCCCTTTACATTCTTTTTTTTCAATCTGGGCAGTTCCTATCATCTCTCTATCTTGTATTCCTTATTTCTATTACTGATTGTATCTTTTAAAAATATTTTTACTTGTGAGCTGCCCAGAATCATTGGGAGTTGGATGGGACATGAAAGAGGGAGGGAGGGAGGGAGGGAGGGAGGAAGAAAGGAAGAAAGGAAGAAAGGAAGGAAATACAACTTTCTATCCTGAACTGACAACAGGACACAAATATGAGAAAATAGAAGCTATTTTCTAACTTCTGCTGTTCCCTGGAGAATGAACAAGAAAATGATTGTAATGTGAGCATCGCACATGCCCTCAATGAAACAGGTATCTGAAATGAAATCACACCGTTTTCAGGCAGATACAGAGAAACATGAAGCACCTACATATTGCTGAACTGTAACTCCCAATAGCCTCAGACAGCCTGACTAATGAGCAATAGTGTTTCCCAGTAACATATGGATGGCCTCAAGCTCACCAGTTTGATTAGTAGTAGCTTCTGTGATTATTAAATAGATTTGTAATTAAGACATGAAAGGCCAGTATTATCTAGTTTGGTTTTGAAATACCATTACTTTGCTTCTAGCATCAATCAGCAGATTTAAAAGTAAAGCAAAACAGGTTTTAGGTTTGATAGTAATACTCTTTCAAGCAAGTATGAATATGTACAAGAGATAATCTTTAGAAGTTAAAAAGAAATAATTTTGCAATTATTTAAAAACCACTGCTAATCGTAGTCTATTTCATGCAACAGCAAAAAATAAATACCAACAAAAAAAACCCCCTCATTATGAAAAAAAATAAGCTTCTCAAATTTTATGTCCAGCAAAACTAACCAGAAATATTAAGACAAAAACAAAGAAAGTAGCAGTTCATAAAAATGCTTCAATACATTAGCGCCAAATATTATCACAGGCCACCAGCATGTTGCTTAAGTAGGTAATGAATAATGTGATTAAATATGCAAGGTACCTGCACTATAGCACACTCCTTTGTATTTGACAATGTTATCGTGTTGCAGAGATTTGAGAATTTCAATTTCTCTTTCGAAATCTCGCAGGTATTCTTCTGTGCTGTGCTGCAGTTTCTTCACAGCCACCACTTCCCCTGTATTATCTTGCAGTGGATCATATCGACACATTTCCACACTACCAAAATTACCCTGCAAAACGAAGATATAGAAGCATTTTGAAAAAGGTATATGCGTGTGGGGAGAGCAGCCAGAAAAGCAGGTAGTCCTCACTTAGTGAACATTAGAACAGACCTCCCTAAGGCTACTTATGACCTAGTTCCCGAGTACCGACAGCTGTACGTACAATCTCCCATGGTCATGTGATCACATTTTGGGCACTTGGCAACCAGCTCTCATTTATGGCCATTTGCAGTGTTTCAGAGTTACATGACCATAATTTTGGATATGTTTTGCTAGTTTCCACTGTTTACTTCCTGTTTCTGGCAAAAAAAAAATGCCCATTGAAGAACATCAGATTCACTTAACAACTGTGGTGTTCACATAACAACCACTACAAAAAAGGCCATAAAATCAGAAGTGGTCATGTGGCGCCCAACAACCATCACAACTTACAACCATAATTCTGGGCTCAATTATAGTCATAGGTTGAGGATTATCTGTACTACAAATTGTTCTTTCAGCCTAATGCAGGGCTTGAGGCTGATATATGATGTGCTGTGCAATATTCCAGCCATTAACTGGATGTACCAGCAATTCAATACAAATAGCTGTCCTAGTTTGCATTAATTCAGTGTATTCAAATGAAGGAAAACCAAATTATACACAGATAAGAATAGGTTATAGCCAAGATAAATGCACTCCCAGGGGTGGGCAATTATTTTCCCCAAGGGTCCACATGAGAAACTGAGACTCTTGTGGAGGGCTGAACCGACAGGGCTGTGAAGGTGTGTAGGCACACATGCATGCACATACGTAAATTAAAAATAAAATAAAATAGCAGGTGCCTTCAAAATAAAAGCAATCCATGTGGGCTGGACAGGGACAGCCAAAGGACTGAATATGGTCTGGAGGCCATAAAATGCCCAGGTCTGCCTTAGGCAGTGATCTACAAATCTATTTTTTTTAAAATTCTATTCATGAAAGGTAAAAGTAAAGGTTCCCCAACTCCAGTCGTGTCTGTCTCTAGGGGACAGTGCTATCTCGGTTTCTTAGCTGAGGGAGCCAGCATTGTCTGAAGATATTTCTGTGGTCATGTGGCCAGTATGACTATAGGCCAGTGGTGCCAGAGGCGGCACTCAGAGCCCTCTCTGTGGGCACGCGTGCCCAGTCCTAGGCCTTCAGCTGGGTTTTATAAAACCTTTTCGCTTTAGGCCTCTGCCGCCATGTGCAAAAAAAAAAAAAAGGTTCAATCAGTCAATTTCAACTTCTTGCAGGGGAAAAAAAAATCTCTCGCAAAGTTGGAATTGATTGATTGAACTTTTTAGTCCCACTCAGTCTGCCGTTACCACTGCAGCCACGCCTACCCAATTGGCCACACCCACCCAATGGCCACACCCACCCGGCACCCGACAATGCATAAGTGGGTTTTGGGTTGCAGTTTGGGCACTTGGTCTCTAAAAGGTTCGCCATCACTGCTATAGGCCGAGATGCATGGAACACTGTTACTTTCCCACCAAAGTCTTGACAACCTGGGTCTTTCCAGCTGCCAAGTTCAGTGTCTTTAACCGCTGAGCCACTGCGCCCCCATGTTCACGAAAATACATATGCAATATGAATTATACTGATTTATGGACACCTAACGTGACCTTCCAATTTATGTAGTGCATAATTCTGAAAAAAAAATGGCATATCCTTGCAGTAAGATATATCAGCTTCTTACCTTGCCAAGTTGCTGCAAGAATTTGAGGTGTCTCTCTTCAAAGTAAGTTGGGTCCCGTCCTTCAAAAGCTTCAGAAAATCCAAGAGCACCAATTCTCATATTTGGTAACATATCGTTTTCTGTCAATAATTCATAATCTTGAAAAAGAAAAAAAAATCCCCAGTTATTTCAGTAGGTAATACAGATTTTACATATATTACCTTACTGTAATACTTACAACAAATACTTATCTAAACTTGGCGTCCCTACATTCAGGTTCCAGAGAGAAGCTGAAATTCCAAGAGAATCCAAGAGAATGGAGAACTCTTTCCCCCATTTAACCTACCTGGCGTAAATAAACTGTTCAGATCCCGTATAACTGCTCTGAAAGAAGGCCGGAAATCTGCTTCATATTCCATACAATTGTTTATCAGATTTGCCAGTTCTGTCCAATTGGGAGCAGGAAGCTGATGCCTGTCTTCATAAAATTGTAGTTTCTAGACATCGAGACATTATAAGGATTATTAATATAATTTTAGACTAATTTTAAGATGCTTTCTATAGCAAGAGAGACAATTGGTCACATTTCTTAGCACGCAACAAGTACATGACAAAAGTTGTAACCTGGATCTTACACTCAAAATTCAATTTAAAAGGAGAGTAGGATCTTGTTGTGATTGCTAATTTCACACCAATTATGTCTATTTAAACTTCTTTCAACAAGATTGTAAAACAAAAGCTTTTACTCCCAATGTTCTGTTATACATTTCCCCCAAATCCTTTTTTCTCAAAAAGCCAATAATTTCAAATAAATAAAAACTCACAAATCTGCATAATGGGTGAATCATCATAAATTAACAAATTAAAAGATGCTTCATAGAGCATTTATTGGCAGAGTTGGGATGTTTTCCCTGAATCAGTGATATCATAAATGAACTGCTTAAGCCAGACATGTCAAACACAAGGCCCAGGGGCCGGATGCGGCCCGCGAAGTGGTTTCATGTGGCCCACGAAGCCATCCTGGAAACAGTGAGGGAACGGCCCCCGCTGCCTTAGCTCTGGCCCAGGCCAGCTGGGAGCCAATGTATAATTTTGTGGTGGCCATCTTGGCACTTGCCCCAGTGGACCATGCCTTGGCACTTGCCCCGTCCCAGGTCCCACCCCCTTCTGCCAGAGACCCTCAGATCTGTCCCACTCCTGCCCAGCCCCCCCATAGGCACCCTTGATGCGAATGATGTAGAACTGGGCACGCCCACCCAGTAGGCCACACCCACTCCATCCACGCCCACCCAGTAGGCTGCACCCATTCTGGCCACACCCACCTGCCCCCCCCAGGGCAACCGCAATGCTGATGTGGCCCTCAGTGAAATTGAGTTTGACACCCCTGGCTTAAGCCTTTTGAAATTCCAGACAAGACCTAGGAGCTCCCCCATTTTCTTTTCCTGAACAGAAATTCACCTTAATATTATTTAATAAGTCACACTGAATGTTCTTAATATTGTTTTCAGCCTTAAGTGATAACAAAAAGCTATAACAAAAAGCTAAGACAAGTACAACTTAATTGAATGGAGAGCCACAGGAAAATCCACGGACTGAAGGCTGGACTGAAATTTAAGAAAAGGCCAGATGGAAAGCAAACCCTTCCGTACTGTTACCAAGAAAACAATAAAGGTGCAAGGTACAGAGTTTAACCCAAGGAGGCTTACTTAAAATGAAGCGCAATGTCCTTAATACTTCGCCTACTTAAGGCAATCGAACCCCATTCCATAAAATGAGGAAGCATTTGGTAAGTTCAACAAAATAAAGCGACAAAGAGGAATGGGAGGGAACCAACCTTTTCAGCAAAATCCTGAGGCTGGGCTATAGCTTATGTCTGGCAGACTAGAAAGGCGAGCATGGAAATCATACCTGCCAGTATGTCAAAAACTATTTTCTAGACGTTAATGAAAGAGGGAGCCCCAGGAAGAAACTGCACTCAAATGTGAGAGCAAGTGGTGTGCGTTAGCATCTAGCAATTTTCACTGTAGAGGGACAGAGATGCTCAACATGACTTACCCTTTGAGAATCCAGTGCATTGAGAGGTTTGTCTCCTCCACTGCAGATTTCCCACAGAGTTGTCCCAAAACACCACTTGTCTGCCGCCTGACTCAACTGCTTAGGGTTTTCAATGCATTCTGGGGCCACCCATGGAATCCTCTCCAGAAGAACTGACAATGAAAAAAAAAAGAGAGTGAACTTTTACTGGAAAGGAATTATAAATTTTAGACTAAAGATACCTGGAACGTTTTAGTTGCTTTACAATTTTATAAGCTCTTGAAGGGAAGTTAATAAAAGTTAGTAATGCGTTCTAAGTCCCGCCTTGGACATGAAGCTGCCTGAGTAAGCTTGGGCCAGTCACTTTCTCTCAGCCCCAGGAAGGAGACAATGGCAAACCACGTCTGAAAAGCCTTGCCAACTTTGGGTAAGAATGACATGATTGTTGTATGAATGCTAAGTTTATGCACTGATTTCTTTGCTATAAAATACACTTGCTTGTATGTATTAGACACTACTAGTTACAAAGCCAGAGTAGCTATGTAATTCTACTGGATTTGTACCAAGAAATTATGAGCATTCTGACCCTGCAGAAAGTAATTGCAATATACTGCAAAATCAGAATCAGAATAGAGCTGAAAGGGATCTTGGAGATCTTCTAGTCCAACTCCCTGCTCACGCAGGAGACCCCATACTATTTCAGACAAGTGACTGCCCAGTCTCTTCTTAAAAACCTCCAGTGATGAAGCACCTACAACTTCTGATGGCAAGCTGTTCCACTGGTTAATTGTCCTCCCTGTTAGGAAGTTTCTCCTTAGTTCTAGGTTGCTTCTCTCCTTGATTAGTTTCCATCCATTGTTTCTTGTCCTGCCTTCAGGTGCTTTGGAGAATAGCTTGACTCCCTCTTCTTTTTGTGACAACCTCTCAAATACTGGAATACTGCTGTCATGTCACCCCTAATCCTTCTTTTCTCTAAACTAGCCAAACCGAAATCCTGCAACTGTTCTTCATATGTTTTAGTCTCCAGGCCTTTAATCATCTTAGTTGCTCTTCTTTGCACTTTTTCCAAAGTCTCGACATCTTTTTTGTAATGTGGCGACCAAAACTGGATGCAGCATTCCAGGTGTGGTCTTACTAAGGCTTTATAAAGCGGTACTAATACTTCACATGATTTTGATTCTATGTCTCTGTTTATACAATCAAGGATTGTATTAGCATTTTTGGCTCATATTTATCTTCATGTACTAGTATTTCAAGTTCACCCTGTTTGTTCCCTAAACTTTGAGCATTCGTGTGTAGGCATTTAAGTCCTTTATGGATCTTGGGTATGTTTCTTATATCTCCTACTTTGTATCTGGATTTTCCATCCTTTCCATCACTCTCTACTTCACTGTGATTTCCCTTTTTTTTTTCTTCTTTCTCTTTACTAACTCTTTATATAGTTATCTAGTGGTTTTTGCTTGGAATCAGGTTCTAAAGGTCTTGAAGATTGCCCCCCTCCCCCCAACAATGTTAGTTTAAAGTTCTTCTAATAAGATGAGTCAGTCGTTTTCCGAATTCTTTGAGGTTACATTTATGATATTTTTATACTTTTTAAAGCATCATTGCAGTATGCAATATCATCTCATAAGAAACATATTTTTTTACAAATGCATGCTATTTTAGATAGCATAATATATTATCATATGGTGATAAAAAATATGTCCCACAATTGTGGAAAGATCATCCTGGAAAGACAAAGGAAAACAGGAATTCCCTGGAATAAAATAATCAATGAAATTGCAGAAAGAAAGCCAGGCACTGACATTTTCATAATGTGCTCAAATAGGGGAGTCAGAGACTTACTGTCTTTTGGCAAAACTGTAATGCTGATACCAGGATCGCTAAGTTTGATAAAAGGAAGGTTCCCAGACTTCCTATCTTCCTCTCTGATAAGCAAGATATTTTTTGCACATACATTCCCATGTACCAGGTTTTTATCCTCCTGAAAAAGATGCATGTGAAGATTTGATTATTCTACTAAATATAATGTAGCGGTGTGCATTTAACTAACTGTTCAAAGTCAAGCTGACTGTGTTTACTTCAAAAATACTATTTTAAAAATATTAAGCAGAAAGAGATTATAAAACTGTAATATAGTGTACTGTCCTTCCCTAATTCTAATTCAGAGATATGCCGCTGTTTTAGGCTTGCTGGTCACATATGGCACTACACAGTATTTGGAATCTTGAGATAGTATGTGTGATAAAAAAAGGAAGTTAAAACTATTTCTAACTTCTTCAATTTATCTATCCTCTTTTAATATATATATTAATGGCCCAACAACTGCAAAACTCCTATTCTGAGAGTGTCAAACCTCTGGACATTCAGTCCAGACAGCTCCCAACCATTAAAGCAGAGCTCTCCAAACCTTTAAGACTTGTACAATTCCCGGAATTCCTTAGCCAGCCATATTTGGAGATCTCTAGTCCATACTTTAGGAACACAGTGATTTTAGAACAGCCTTTCTCCATTGACTATAACAGTGGTTCTCAACCTTTTTAATGCCGCGACCCCCAACAGTTCGTAAGTCGAGGACTAAACCGGTCGTAAGTCGAGGACTAAACCGGTCGTAAGTCGAGGACTAAACCGGTCGTAAGTCGAGGACTTTCCCTGCCCGGGAGCGCCGCGCATACGTGGTTCCGCCCCCTGGCAAGCGGCAGAGAAGGAGCAGGACGACCGCCAGCTGGCCCAGCCCAAGGGAGGTAAGGCACCAGCCGGAAAAGGGGAAAAAAATGGCGGACAGCCTTGCTTGGCGACCCCCGTGAAATGGTCGATCGACCCCAAATGGGGTCGCGACCCATAGGTTGAGAACTGCTGGACTATAATATCAGTACAGAAATCAGAGAACAAGGCATTCTGTAGGTGGTTCCTGAACCCTGCCAAAATGGGAACTGCGTCATTTAATTTAGCAGAGAGCTTGGAAGGTATTTAGGAGACAAGTGATTGCACTCTGTGTTGCACTTCCTGATTTAATATGCACTACATCTAAAAAAGCTGTGATTTATTTTGAATTCTCAATTGGCCCCTTCTTGCTATAGGCTACAAGAAAGATTTCAATTCAAGCTTTTATATAGTGCATTTATGCAGTGTGCCGATGTGAAAATCCTTCACTTGGACATAGTAGAAATATTCAGTGGTGTGTAAAGGTTAAAAAACAGGGGAACAGAAAATATGACCATAAAGATCATAGCTTGGTGAAGTTGGCCCAATATACAATTTGCCCTAAAACAAACTAATGCATAGTTTCCAAAAGAGAAATTACCGCCATTTTCCAATCACTGGTAGGCCTGCATAACTCCAATATCTCATCCTAGAAAAAGCAGTTTCCTGCATGTTTGTTAGCAATAGATTATGAAAAAATACACATTTAGATTATAAATAACTAAATAATATCTCAACTATGAAAAGTTTATGAAAATGGCTAATTATAACCTAAAGCCTGAAGTACCCTGAATAAACTTAAAAGAATTTTTACCGATACCAAAAAAATTAAAACGAACTTACCAGAAAATGCATTGCCATTGCTAGTTGTTTTGCAACTTCTAATTTCCACAATATATTTATAGAAGTTTTATTTTTCTTCAAATAAGTATCCAATGATCCAAATTTTACATACTCCTGGACCAGAATATCTGACAAGAAATATATAATAATTTTTAACACAATGGAATTCAAACAGTAGCTTTTAATTACCACACTGGTTAATTTTCTTATGTACTACAGTATACACTGTAAAGCAGTTAACTAAATCTCTTACTCCTTAAGACCAGGGGTGTCAAACTGCCGGCCCGCGGGCCGGATGCATCATAGAGAAACCACGCCCACCCCATTGCCGGCAATGGCAAAAAAGTTGCGATACTTTGCGACACGTCACATGACGTTGCGAGTTTGACACCCCTGCCTTAGAATAATTAATGCTAAATAGTTCTTGGAAATAGAACAGAGATTATAAAACTGCTTTCATATTCTTACCATAAAATGCCAAGATATGGAACACAACTTCTTCTAGATAGCCAGACAAAATAATTACACGCAGGAGCATTATTAAATACATGTATAGATAGTCCTCAACTTAGAATTTCCATTGCTAAGCAAGGTGGTTCTTAAGTGAGTTATGCCTGATTTTACAACCTTTTTGCACCATTGTTAAGCAAATCACTGCAGTTGTTAAATAAATCAAGCAGTTATTAAGTGAACAGGCTTATCTATTTACTTTGCTTGTTGAAAGCTGGCTGGGAAGATCGCAAATAGCTATCATATGACCCCAGGATGCTGCAACCATCATAAATATTTGTCGGTTGCCAAGCACCCAAATTTTAATCACATGAACGTGGGGATGCTGCAACAGTTGTAAATGTAAGGACCAGTCATAAGCCACTTTTTTCAATGCCATTGTAACTTTGAACAGTTGCTAAATGAATGGTTGCAAGTTGAGAACTACCTGGACTTAATATGACTGTATGCTATGGAATACATAAAGCACAGTATTTCATTAATTTCTCAAAGTCTATCATGTCTCTGAAAAGTTGGGGACAGTATTAATAACAACACAAGCTGATGTCAAATGTGTGCAAGATTACATTCAGGTAAGCACTAATTACTTTTTCATCGGTTTAGGATAATAAACAAATCTTTTCTAGTACTTTGCCAGCTAAACCACCTGAATTACAGCAAAATAACCTCATCTCTATCTATTTACTACACATTACTGGAAGATGTGATTTTCCTTTTGCTGACTCACAGAGCTAAGCAGAAATTTTTTCCCACAATACCAAATACAAAGAGGCAGATGCAAAAAGTGTTTGATCAAGCATTCTAGATAAGCAAAGGTGAATTACAACTTCAGACCAATTTAGCCACAAGCTTCTACTTGCTTTATCACATCTTAAAATGATAAATGAATGTGTTCACTGACAAGATCCCGCCAGAATTTCCCAGATTTTGACTTGGCATAATTTCACTAAGCTGGTATTAGCTCAAGGTTCTCCAACATACAGGCAGCACAAGACTCTTTATTCCATACTCAACAGAAACAATCACAACAGGTGTCTGAGTTCTGCCATCCTCTTAATGTTCACTGTGGGTCAATTTTTGGTGCTTCTTTCTACCCTTCCTACAATTTAATGAACTCTTTGCCCAATACCCCCTTGCCTTGAAGGCAGGTGGTTCTTCAGATAACTGACATTCTACCCTTGAAAATTCTGACTGGTGGGACACACAGTTTTATTATCTTCTGATAAGTCCCAGGAGCAGTCCATTTCAAGATTTCAGTCTAAGGAACAAAATAATCAAAATATCCAGATCTGCCCTGATTTTCATACGGGTATAAAACTTTAGCCATGAAATATTGCATTTCAAAGTTGTTTTGATGGATAAGAAGATGATTAAGAGATTTTAATAATGGGCCGTCATGTGGATATGATGCAAAGTTATTATCTTAGACGGTTCAATTTTTTTAATGAAGAAAAACATGAATGTCAACCTGAAGCAAAAAAGACATTAAAAAGCGCTTAATCCAAAATAACTTTCACACACATATACACACTTTCAAAACACATAATAGTCATTATATTAGAATTCATTGTTTTCTGGTATAATGAGGACCACTAATTTAAAAAGTTTTAAAAGATTGGGCAACTAAAGGGAGAAGCTATCAAAGTCTACTGATCACAGATTGTATTCTTTGAAACCCAGCTGCTACCAGTATAGAGGTGGTCGGTTACCAACTTACACTTGTGATCGTCTTGAAAGATTCTAGTTGGTTCTGTTACTAAAGTAAGTGAACTGTTGATCTGACCCAGAAGGATTCTTACATACTAATACAGGGGTGTCAAACTCGCAATGTCAAGTGACGTGTTGCGACATATCACAACTTTTTTTCCATTGCTGGCAATGGGGTGGGCGCGGTTTCGCCATGATGCATCTGGCCTGTGGGCCGGCAGTTTGACACCCCTGTACTAATAGAAAAGAACATTTGCAGCTCAGCTTGGTTGTTTTCTTGCAGATGTTTCATTACCAAATTAGATAACATCATCAATGCTAGCACTGAGATATTACCTACTTTAGTAATGAAATAACTACAAGAAAGCAATCAAGCTCAGAGAGCACCAAAGACGTCACAGGATTTTTCTGTTTTCAAGAAAAGACATAATTGTTTTACACAAATGTGAGTGTAAAACCTTCACTACTTCATGTTTTTACCCTTGTTCGTTATTCAAATACTGTATCTCTACTATAGAAAGACTTCTGGAAAAAAAAACTCTAATCAGAGAGTACAAACCATTAACTGGATTTACTTACTTTCTTCTCCACAGACACAAACTCCATAATTTAATACTAAATGTTTGTAAGAAAGCTGACTCATCATGCTTGCTGCTTCAAAGAAAGACTACAAGAAAAAGATAACAATCAGAAAGTGAGTCAAAGTAAAAACTGGTTGGAATTAATCCAGTTATATTGTGACACCCCTTTGTTCCCTGTCTTCTGCTACTTCTACTTGTTGCACAATTAATTCTGCAGGACTGGTCTCAGTTTTTTTTTTTAAGAATTCATTTGCTACCGTGAATACGTATTTTAATAATAGACGTAATGGACTGTGTCAATGGGCTTGGGAAATGATGCTACCCAGGAAACAACCACACAAGAGAGGTAGAAACCTCCAGTGGCTTAATAGTCAGAGAAAGTAGCCACCCTAACGGTTCAAGTGGAAGTGGGAAGTTTGTACTTTCAGACTTGCAAAATTCTGTTAATTAAAATAGAATTAGTTCATACTGTTGTATTTTCTGTCTGATTTCACCTGGGAGGACTGACAACAGTGTTGATTTACTGGCAAGAGGTAAATCTGTGATGAGCATCTGAATGCTCTTCATATTGGGTCATAATAGATGACAATATTTGATATGTAGAAATAAAATTCAACAAAACAAAGATGGGAACAATTAACAAATGAGTCATTAGGAAATTGCTTTTGAAATCCAAGGTACAGAATTTTTTTTATAGTCAGAGACAAAACTTCATAGAGAACTTTTATCAGTTGTATCATATTATCAAATTCAACAAATTCACTTTCAGAAGGCATGGGAAAAGGTGATAAAGTTTGTTTACCTCCTAACTCAGTGGTTCTCAACCTGTGGGTCGGGACCCCATTTGGGGTCGATCGACCATTTCATGGGGGTCGCCAAGCAAGGCTGTCCGCCATTTTTTTCCCTTTTCCGGCGGGTGCCTTACCTCCCTTGGGCTGGGCCAACTGGTGGCCTGCTCCGTCTCTGCTGCTTGCCAGCTACGCCTCGGCCAGCGCAGGGGGCGGAACCACGCATGCGCGGCGCTCCCGGGCAGGGAAAGTCCTCGACTTACGACCGGTTGGGTAGTCCTCGACTTACGACTGGTTTAGTCCTCAACTTACGACCGGTTTAGTCCTCGACTTACGACCGGTTGGGGTCACGGCATTAAAAAGGTTGAGAACCACTGTCCTAACTGTTGATGGTGTAGAATCATCTTAATTCTTAATTAGTATAGACATTTAATCAGTATCTCTTAAAATTTTTCATGGAATATTCAACTTCATAATATCAGAATTTATCAGAACTCCTAGCCAGCAATAAACAACAAACCAGTCTGCATTACCATGAGAAAGACTGGAAGGAGAAGTCTACAATTTTATTCTTCTGAAATCGTGAGATTAATTTATTAAAGTACATACATTAAAGTATATTTATTTAGAGTAGATGCAATATTTTAGTACAATCTCTAAGCCAATCTCAATTCTGTATTGAAAAGCTGAAATTCCGCAACTTCAGTATTTTAGGAAAATGGAAGTGTACTATTTTGTATAAATTGTTTTGTTTAAACCATTCGTGGGAGAATAAGAAAGAAGAAAAGCTGTCACTCAGATAAATTTTTGTCTCTTGGATATTCAAATAATTTTTTGTGTCTTGGATATTCAAAATCCTTCTGTATATCTAAAATGTAACTTTGCACACTTTTCAACAAAGGAAAATTCATCAGAAATGGCTATCAACAGATAACTTTGACTTGCATCTTCGTTGTTCCTTTCAGTTGTGATGCTTTTTAATGTTTTTATTGTTTCATTCTGTATTATTTCAAATCATTATATATCCAGTAATTAAAAAGTAGGGTCTTTTAATTAATATTAATAGGATTTTTAAAATTAATAAACAAACCTCGGAATAGTGTCTGTGCGTTTTATCCAGAACTTTCAGCAAGACTTCAGTCTGATACAATTTACCATAGTCTCCTACTTCTTTCCTTACTCCTTTGAAAATTTTAGTGAAGGTGCCCTGCCCAAGGCTTTCATTCTACCCAAAAAACAGAAACAAAACCCCCAAAATTTGAGATTAAAGGAAAAGGTTAATCAAGTGACATGAAAAACAATAAAACATGTAAAAAGTAAAAAAAAAACACCATTGATAAAATAAGGCTGCTTTGAAGCAGGGGTCCCCAACCCCCTAGGCCGCGGCCCTACTAGGCCCTGAGCTGTTCAGAACCAGACCGCAGAAGTGGTGGGTGAGTGTGCTTGCGCATACACACACAACCCTACTTGCATGAGCAGTGGGCGAGCACATGTGCGGCCCATTTGCATGAGTGGGGGTGCATGTGCCTGCCACTCGCACAAATTGAAGCTGCGCGTGTGGGCTTGCCCACTGCTTGTGCAGAACCATCCCCTCTCCCCCCCTCCAGTCCACAAAGTCGGAAAGGTTGGGGAACTCTGCTTTGGAGCACAGAGATGTTTTTAGACACCAAATTAAACAGCCTCATTTTTTAATACTAAAGAACTATAAACTGAGGGTGGGAAGAGCTGTAACAATAACAGCTTAAGAGCTCATCTTTATCTTAATAAAAGCACAAATCTATCTTAAAAAGAAAATGATAACACATCTATCTCAATGAATGTACTTACATAGAAAAAGAAATTCAATTTTCAATGAATAATGAAGGGAAATCTTACATCTTAATATTTATATGCTTTTATTATTATAAATATCCAGCTTTTGGTAAATGCATATAGCCTAATCACATTTAAATTAATTGAACTTAATTTCAAGGTGTTGATAAATTAGTGTATGAATCTTACAAAGATAAGATCTTCATTCCGAATTTTGTGAAAAACCATCTGATTGACATTATTATGTCTCTGCAAGGTAGGCGATGTTGGCATATCAGAGTCTCCATTGCTCCTGAAGACAAGAAGGTTGGACTTATCTGGAAGAAGTCAAAAAGAGTGCCCTCAGCCATGAAGCTTCCTATGTAAATTTTGATTAATAAAACTAGGTAATTGTGGGGTCCTCATTGCAACTCTCAACCTAATTTCCCCTCCCTGTTGTGTGATCAAAAATGGGGAAAGAAGAAGCCATAGAATTAAGTATCTCGTTACACTTTATCTTCTAACCATTTCTGAGCAAAATAGGAATGGTGCAGCATTAAAGGAAAATTGCATGAACATGTAAGATATATCCATCCTGTATCACATGTTGCACTCTCAAGTTTCAAATAACTTGAGTTTGTGATCATGTAGGATATTTATTTGGATTGGTCAGGACACTGTTATCATACTTCTTTTAATTCAAATAATACAGGCAGTCCTCAACTTATGACCACAATGGAGCCCAGAATTTATGTTGCTAAGTGAGAAATTTCTTAAGTGAGTTTTGCCCAATTTTATGACTTTTCTTGCTACATTTGTTAAATGAATGACTGTAGTTGTTAAATTAGTAACACGGCCGTTAAGTGAATCTGGCTTCCTCGTTGACTTTGCTGGTCAGGAGGTCACAAAATGTGATAACATGACCCCAGAACACTGCAATGGTCATAAATATGTCAAGCATCTCAGTGTAAATCACATGACCATGGGGATGCTCCAATGGTCGTAAGTGTGAAAAATGGTCATAAGTCACTATTTTCATTGCTGTTTTAACTTTGAACAGTTACTAAAAGAACTGCTGTAAGTTGAGAACTACATGTACTGCAGCTCCACTTCCAACTACAAAATACACATAGCATTTGCTTTCATTTTCTCTTACAGAAAAGACATCTGCCACTCTTGTCATAGCCACAGTACAAATCATAAGGCACATAGAAGAGCAGCTTAAATTAGGAAGTCCGGCTACTAAAATTACTTTACTAGCTCTTTATTTTTTCTCAATCTTCTGCCCGGACCACAATTCTTGTGTAGCACAGAAACCACACAGAATCCTGGTAAAGAGGATTCAAGGAAAATCTGTCTCCTTTCCTGAAAGAGCCACAAAGGAAGCACAAATTCTAATGCCAGCTGCTATATCTGTGCTAGCTGGGACTGGTTCCAGAGTCAAACTACAGTACACACGTCAACATTTTCAAAGCGTCCAGAGCACAGCAGCTCCAAAGCTAAGTTTGTAAAACAGTGTACAGAATGAGCTATTTGTTAAATCCAAACAGATTTTGGAATCCTCTAGTGAAGGATGGGACGATTTAAACATTTCCTATATCAGTGGTGGCAAACCTGTGACACGGGTGCCAGAGGCGGCACTCGGAGCCCTCTCTGTGGTCACACGTGCCATTGTCCCAGCCTTGCCTCCCCCCGCGACCCCTTCCTCTCCAGCAGCCCCTCTGAAGGAGAGTCACCCCCGAGCGTGGCCCACACGGAGCAGCGCAGCCAAAGACATGGCAGCCAGGCAGCGTAGACAAGACTCTGCCCTCACACCCCCATCATGCAGTTGATGCTGCAGGACGCGGGCAGAGGGTGTGGCCGCCATAGTGCTGCTGGGCTGCCTGGGCGATCTGCGGTGGACCCTGGAGGCGGTGAGTGGTCCTGTGGGCAGGCGGGGCGGGGGGTGGGGGGGCAGAGCGGGAGTGGGCAGGGTGTGGACAGATTTTGGGCACTCGGTCTCTAAAAGGTTCGCCATCACTGTCCTATATTTTTAGGGTTAGCAACTTACATTCTTCTTTCATTACTTTCCTCTTTATCCTAATCCCAATATATCACAAATACACAAATATATGTAAACAAATATCACTTGTGCCATGTATCCTGGACAATGAGTGGAGCATATAAGTTTTATTGCAAGAATGTGGAACTTAACCTGGACTGAGAATGAAATCATTCCTAAATCTCAGAAGATCCAATTATATCAGTCAGCGGGGGAGGTGGCAGCAAAATGGAGCTTCAGTATTTTGAACAGCATCCTGACTGTTGTCTAAACTCAAGAATTGTTTACAGAAAAAGAAAAACTTTGATTCTTGGCTAATCTTTTAGGGGGGAACTTACAGAAAGGATTCAAGGTGGCTAAATATATTGAATTGCAATTTTGACAGGTTGACAACTGACCCCTGAATGAAAGAACTGTTATAAAATACTGTTTTTACTAATGCCTTGACAATTGGAAATACAGTAGATTATAAAAACTATATATAAAGATAAGAACTATATGAAATTGGGCTGTTTGGATTTTGAGTTTTGGCTGGTTTGACAAGGCTAATTTTAGAGACTATGGCACTGATGAAGGATTATTTGAAAGGAGGAGATAACATGGATATGGCATAGTTATCAAAAAATGACAGAAAACTACATTTAATACTTACTCCTGAAGGACCTAGCCTAGAATATCAAAGACCTCAAGAAGCAACTTTTCAAGACAAGACAAATACTTTGCAGGAGGAAATGTATGTAATGCTATGACAGATGCAAATGACAATAGCTTTAAACCACGAGATCAAACACCAAGCCCTGAAGGCCCATCTATTCCGTGCGGCCGGCCTGGCGTAGTTTGATTATGTTTTAGTGGGGGTTTTGTATGGGGTATTTTTAGAGCAGGCCTGTTATTTAATTTGATTTTAGAACAGAAACTTGCGTATATTTATCGTGGTTTTTATTATCACCTGTTCACCGCCCTGAGTCCCGTAAGGGAGTAGGGCGGTATATAAATTCAATAAATAATAATAATAATAATAATAAACACAACTTTGATGACATAAATGAGTACATTTATAATCTAAACTCACAATCAAAAAACACTCAGAAAATGATGGTAAAGAATGAACAAACAAATCAGATAACAGAATATAAATGAGAAGAAAATGACTTAATCAGTGAAGCTACAAATGAAGAGAATTATAACTTAATACAAACAGGAAAAAACCTACAAGACTTGGACTAACAACAAAAATGGAAAAGATACTTTATTCATTAGAACGTCAAACTAAACCTGAGGATAAGAAAGCATCCTTCTGCACGCCAAAATATTCTCTGCAGTGAAGGAGAAAGACAGCAACTGCTCCTTGCCCCTCCTTCCTCTTATCTATCCTAATCTTATCTCATCTCATCTATCTAGTCTTATCTGTTAATCCTAATGTCCGTCTGTCTGTCTGTCTGTCTGCCTAATCTGAAGAATGTGCCTATGAATGTGTGTATACATATGCCTATATGAGAACCACGTTGTTAGAACTGCTCTTTTATTGTTTAACGTAGGCCTTTGTATTTTTCTCAAATGACAGTTATTTCTCTAGTTCAGTTAGGCCACACAATAATATCATCCTCAACAAATAAAATTCGAATTGCTTACCTTTTGGCTTTGGAGGGCAGCATCTGATAAACTGGAAAATCATATTATCCGATCGGACAGTTTCTGTACGGTAACAATTCAACAGATCCACAAGGTTGGTAAAACTTTTTCTAGTTCCAGTGAGATTATATTCTCCATTTTCATTTTTTGTTATCAAGCAGTGTTTATAATCAATTATGCTGTCTTGCTGCAAAATTTAAGGACAATTTAAAAATGCTTTAATTCAACAAACCTTTATTTGTAATTGTGTAAATTTAATCANAATTTAATCAAATGTCATGCATAATTCTAATTTGGCAATCATGACTAGGAATATGTCCTGTAGCCATATTGGGTGGGGAAGTGAAGTAAAAAAATAACCAGAAGAACAGAAAAGAACAGTTTTTATGACAAAGGAATGGCTGGGTAGGACATGGTTCATTCTAGTTCATTACTGGTTTCTTGTAGCTTTCTAACTTTCGCTCATCACATAAATCCATTACAAACAATGAAATAAGTTGATGGAGGAACAAAATTATGTTTTAATTTTACTCTGAATATACAGCTATCATGGCATTAATACTTAAAGATGCAAAAGTGTAAAATCTGGTCGATTTTATCTGCTCTATAAATGCCATCTAATGTAGCCTAGTTTTGTTTTAATTCTACAACAAAGCTTTTTGGAACAAAGGACTGACACAGGTCAACACTTCAGCTTTGTTTAATGCAAAGGAACTGAACTGTACTACTAAGAGTTCCTTTAGCATATAAAAATAAACTTGTATAGCAAACATTTTGATTTTTTTTATAAAGCAAGCTCTGAACTTGGATCATCTTAATTGCTTTGTACTCTGCTTAAAAATATCACAATAGCAATAGACACAAAAATTGGCAACTTATGAGGCTAAATATATGAGAACATCAGCAGCACGTTCTTCAAAATTTATCATAACTTCTAAATTGCAGTACTTATGAATATACTTTTTTTAGCAAATGAAGAAACCTATCACTTCTTGATAAGTTATTCTTGAGTAACAAATATTCGGCTTTTGAAGGAAGAACTGATAATCTTTGTAAACCATTTCAGAAGTTCCTCTGAGAAGTTCCTGAGACTTCCTGTATCTCTTTTAAACTACTGTTCTATTGGCAAATTCACACAAATGGATATAAACCACAACCAAACTCTGAAAATTTAAATATTATTTGGCACTTGAATTAACAGAGAGTGTAAATGGGAAAATTAATAAAATATTGATCCAATTTGTGGCCAATTTTCATAAATACATGCTAATCATGTTATTCTGAAAACAAAAGGTGATATTTTTTTCTTAAGAGTCAAGAAAAACAATAGATAAAAAAATATATATCCAAAATAAAAGGAACTGAAATCTCCTCTTAACCGTAGTCAAAGCAGTTGGAAATCTGGATCCTTAATACTAACCTGCACAGCAAAGGTAAGAAAGTATTTATTAAACTCTTTTGGACTGCAACGAAGAACATAATAGCCAGTTTGATTGCCAGCTTTTTTCAGTTTACTGATTGCAAAGTCCATGCTATTTAAAAAAAAATAGGAGGAAAAACAAGTATTAAAAAGAGCTGACATTTCTGAATTACAGAATATATTGGGATACAGCAGATTTTTCACAAAAAGAATCTGTCAGTGAAATGGCAATTCCTCTTCTCTCTTGATCTAAGACTACTCTTTCCACATTATTTTCAGTAAATAAAAAACTGCTAAAACCAGTTCCCATTTCCTTGACCTGTTCTCTCATCAGCAGAATGCTACCAAATAAAATTTACAACTAGTCCTCAAGTTACCATGGCAATTGGGACCTGAATATCCAGCACTAAGCAACGTGGTTATAAAGTGTAATGTCACATTAACTCATTGCTTAACAACAGCAATCCAGCTGCACTCCCATGGCCCTGTGGGACCCATGTGAAGCTCAAAAACATTTCAAGAAGGTTACAAATGATTTGGATAAAGGGCAGGTGCAGCCTTGGGAACATGGTTTAGCATAGCCAGCAGCTGCCATACAAAAGGCCAGACCAGGCATGTCTCAGCAGCAGCTGCAGGAAGAAGGTGGTGAAGGTTAGCTATGGACGGCACAATTGGCAAGGCCAGCGAATGCAGCCTGACAAGGGTGGCAGGGCCAGCAAGGGCAGGGTGGCAAGGCCAACAGGCTGGTCAAAAGGGCAGAGATGGGAGGCAGTTGGAAGGAATTAAGCATCCCTGCGGTTTTAAGTGCGGTCAGGCTGCCAAGTGCCCAAATTCTGATCACGTTATTGTGGGGGTGCTTCAATCGCAATTGCTTTGGGGACCATGCCATAACCTTGAACCGTTGCTGAATGAATGGTTGTACTTTGAGGACTATCTTTAATTGAATAGGACAAAATAGGATGGATGCAACAGAGATTAAAATAATTAAATATATTTTAAAATAAAACGGGACATCAGAAGAGGTTTGAAGAAGTTTGGCAGACTATAAATAAAGGACACAATTCAGAGAATTATTTGTGCTCCAGTTAAGCCAAAAAAGAAATTATGTCATTCTAGATAATGTGATTTCCTAAAGATGGGACACCAATATCTGACTTTCTCTGAGGGACATTGTTACAGTGAACTTTTTACTATGCAACTTTCACTTGATTTTCTAATTCACCAGTACCTTAACTGAAACATGTTAATATATTGAATTGCTCAGAACCGGGACATATTATATGGAATCACATACATTTCTACCAGTGGTGGGATTCAGCCGGTTCGCACCACTTCGGCAGAACCGGTAGTTAATTTTTTGTTGCCCAGGCCCAGAATGGACTTCCGGAAGGGGCATCCACACAGAGAACCGGTTGTTCACATATTTGAATCCCACCACTGATTTCTACTCAGAAATATTTTTTCCTCATCTTTATGAAAGGAAGGGGAAGAAGTAGTCTGTACCAAGAGTAATTTCTTTTGTTAGCAATTTTCCATATTTTCAAACAATCATTCAAATAACTGGTGTGTGTGCATAGATAAAAACATAATGAGGTATAACTTTGCTTTTTAACTTCCTCTTATTGCTAGAAGTAATAACAAAAGCAAGAACAAAGCTATTTTAATCTGCTTCCTCAGGCAGAAAGAAGCTTCTTCCTCAATATGGTCCATGTTGCATCTATAGCCCTGGAGGCAAGTTGTGTGTACAAATGAGCAGGGCTAATGTACCAATGATTCCTGTGTTCCCAAATGCCTAACCTAGCATCTGATGTGCCTCTAGTTCAGGGGTGGCGAACCTATGGCACGGGTGCCAGAGGCGGCACTTGGAGCCCTCTCTGTGGGCACCCGTGCTGTTGCCCCAGCCTTGCCTCCCCCGCGACCACCCCCTCACCAGCAGCCCCCCTGGAGGAGAGTCGCCCTCGAGTGTGGCCCACGCGGAACAGTGCAGCCAAGGACATGGCAGCCAGGCAGTGTAGACAAGATTCTGCCCTCACGCCCCATCATGCACAGTTGATGCTGCGGGGCATGGGCAGAGGGCGTGGCTGCCATGGCACTGCTGGGCTGCCTGGGTGATCTGCGGCGGGCCCTGGAGGCGGTGAGTGGCCCTGCGGGCAGGGCAAGGGATGGAGCGGGGCCGGGGCCAGTTTTTGGGGACTCGGTCTCTAAAAGGTTTGCCATCACTGCTCTAGTTCAAAAGATTATCCACTCCCAAAATAAATGTCAGAGTAAAGTACTACTTACGAAATTGGCCCATGGCAATTGCTCTGGATATTTTCAAGAACTGAAGGAGGTGCCACTTCTTTACAAAGGTAATGATGAGCATCCGCTGTTAATCTATAATATCCATCAATTAATGATACAAAAGAAAGCGCATCTTTTAATGAATGAAATTCAGCTTCCTGTAAAAGACAAGGAAAAAATGTGGTATAGAATGTAAAGTAATAAAACACAAATTACAAAAAAAGCATACAATGCTATGGGCTGAGATGAATAAGCATGAGTTTTCTATCTTAACATTATGTTTTTGAATAATGCTATTTAATTTATTTGTTTACTTTATTCAAATGCTGCCCATTCTTGAAGACAGAGCAGCATACTTTACTTCCAAATAGTTAATACTCTGTGTTAGGTAGGCATTTATAAACTATTTTCCTTTTATTTTTTTTCTGTATTTCTTGTATTTTATCTTTTGTAGAAATTCAACAGTATGTTTGTGTGTGTATATATGTGTAAATAGAAAGGGTTAAATTATCTGGCATGCAAGCTTCTGTCTCCTGCCAATTTAAGCTAAGTAAAGAATTATCCAGAGCAAAACTTTAGCTCAACATATTGATACATCTGTACCAGCGGTCCCCAAATTTTATGGCTTGACGGCCTGGCAGAGGGGAGGAGAGGGGAACCAGCATGCCACTCGCCCAACCACTTGTGCGGTCTGGTTCTGAAGAGGCCATGGCCCAATAGTGGGCTGCAGGCTTGGGGTTGGGGACCCCTGATCTGTACTACTAAAACACTTGTTTTAACTGGGTGAAACAGTGAATCACAGGGCAACAATTTTTGAACCAAGGGATGAAGGGTTAACTTACAAAATGCATCCAAATTCCAGGACACATTATTCCCAAGGGAATGAAATTTGGGAAAGTTGTGGCTGTTTCAGTGCTACTGGCTGCTGTTGAGAGATTGTGCCATTTGCTAATGTTGTAAATTCCTATGCTCTGTGTTTGCCTGTATTGGATAATTTGTCCCCTCTGAGAAATATTTCTATTGCTGGAAAGCCACTTTCATCACAGGCAAATCTTTATTGGAAATATGATAATTTCTTTCAGCTGGGAGGAACAACCTCTCAGAGAGAGAACATATAATAGCAGAAGAATTTCCCCCTTCTTTCACAGCTTGAAGGAGAACAGTACCTAATGTCACACTAATGAAACATCTGTCTGCAATACAAAAGGAACAGTCATCTGCATGTTTGAACAGCTAAGAAAAGGCGTTATCTAGCCACTATGTAAAACAAACAGGAAGAAGACTGGTAGAACGCATCAACGAAACCAACTAGAAGTCAGAAGACATGTTGAAAACTCTTTAATTTCACAACGTATGGACAGACTTAGCCATAGTTTCAACTGGGAAACTGTGACCATCCTAGACCAAGCCAAGTCCAAAAATGCTATGAAATTTCTAGAAGACTTCCACTCGGACAAATTAGCCATCAGTAGACACATAGGCATAAACAATATCTACATATTATACAAAGAGGCAATCAAAAAACCAAAAGGGGGAAAAAAAGACCAAAACACCTTCCCTCCAGCAATCAGCACCCAGATGAGCATAGATTAACTCGAAGATTAACATCAGACTATCAAGTAAACAAAACTCCAATCAAAGAACTGCCAAATAAGCTAGCAATAAACAGCCCAAAGAACCTCTAAGACAGGGGTGTCAAACTGCCAGCCTGTGGGCAGGATGCCATCATGCCGAAACCGCATCCACCCCATTGCTGGCAATGGAAAAAAAGTCACGATATGTTGCGACACCTCACATGATGTTGCTCTAAGACTACCCCCACCAACACTGATAGGGCAAGCCATTAGAATATATATTGAGAGCAAACCCCACTTCTTATTAGCACTGATAATGTTATCTAGTTTGGGTAATTAAATGTCTGCAAGAAAACAACCAAGTTCAGAGAGCACCAAGCATCTCTCATTTAAAAGAGTGAATGAAGCCCTCCTTCAGATTATTAACCAATAACTCCTTCAATGTAGCTAACTTTTGAGTAATCATAGTATATTGCCTCTTAGCTGGGATTTGAACTTCTGGCTTTGCCAGGTGCAAACAATCAAAGTGGCTCCAGGATTCGAGTCAAGAGGTTCTTTTATTGTTGACTCCACTGTACATAAGAATCTTGCCAGACTGTTTTCCGTGGGAAAGCCAGATATGCTTCCTCCCATCTATGAAGTCCAGACTGGAATATCTCTTAACTCTCCCCAGAGGAGCCGCCTTCCTTTCAGTCATTGATTCCACTACAGGTTTCAAGTTAATGTTAAAGTCATACACGCTATTGAGGGAAGTTAGCCCAGAAAGGAAATATTAAAAGGGCAGAAAAATATATTTTTCCTCAAAAGCATTTTTTTAAAACCAGAAACCAATCCTGGCCTCAAATCTCTTTGCCCCAACAGGAGCCAGCCCTATACAAATGCAGATGTAAAACCATCAGAAAGTTGGAGCCAGAGAACTCAAGAAGACAAAGAGAAAATCTGCATACCTCACCCAAACTCTAAGTCATTAGCCCAGCCCCAGGGAAGCAGGATATGACTTTTAGGACATAATAGGACTAACCCATTACCATCAAGTATACCAGAGAGGCACACCTAGGGTCAGGTCAGAATACCTGACACAGGAAATAGCCTCAAAGTTCATGCCACAGGAACAGGAAACTTCAAAATAAAAGGCTAGAGAGGGTATAAAAAACCCCTTGCCCATGTGCTCAGCCCTTCTCTCCTCTGCTCTTTCCTGAAGAACCATCTTTCTGCTTCTTCAATAAACTGTAACCATCTTCCCAAAGCAGTCGCCATGTTGCTTATTTATTCCCGGCTTGGATGAACCAGGATGAAGACTTTACTTCTGACACTATGACATGGGTGTCAAACTCGCAACGTCACGTGATGTGTTGCGATGTACTGTATTGTGACTTTTTTCCCATTGCTGGCAAAGGGCTGGGCGCAGTTTTGGTGTGACACATCCAGCCCGCGGGCCGGCAGTTTGACACCCCTGCACTATGAGGAAGCAATGAAGTTATTTCCTCCTCACTGAAAACATCAGCTGTATGCGCTTTTGGGGGGGGGGCAAGGAACATGATTCAAGTAGGAGAGCAAGAAGCATTAAAGTGGAAAGCTTACAATTGGTGCTGTTGACATTTCTGAATTGGAAAAAAAATGTTAGTTGCTCCCAGTGAGCATCTGGATTATGTGTTTGTAGCCAATCAATGCCCATCACAATGGAAATATGTAAAGAAACTGTGAAACAGAGTGGCAAGAATTCTTTGAAATCAGCCAAGTCTCATCTGTTATGAGCTAATTGTATTATATTGTACTGTAGTGAGTTTCACAACCTGAGGTTCAATGAAGAATATCAGATGCACTGGCCTGTTTGTTACCGGTTGCTTGAACTTCTCTTGAGGTCTTCTGATCTTTTTGGAGTATGTGCCTTTCTTAAGAGGTAGAGATTTTAAATGGGTCACAGAGTTCAACCCAATGAATAAACAAACTGAATATCTTTGCGTCACACACAGATCTAAAATTACTGAACATGGCCTTTGATCTGCTATAAAATTAATTGAAATTTTAGTTTTTTAATTTAAATAAATATTGTTGGCATCTATTACAGTCCAGCCAACCAAGCAGAAAATAAAGATTATGTTTTTCAAAAGCAAACTGAAAGGTATATCTTTCAAAGAGCCACAAAGTAGTAATGATGGGGAAATTCAATTGTCCTGACATCTGTTAGGATACAAACTCTGCAAACATGATTTTTTTTTTTGTTTACTTTGAATGACTTTAAATCACCAGATCACAGGAACTGCATGCTTCTTTCACCAAGCATGAGGCTGAATTAGATGTCCCTTCCAACTTTATGATTCTAATAAGACATCATTCAATAGCAAGGAACTATTCGTATTAACTATACTTGGTTTAAATACGCTTGAATCAAGTTTTATTTTGATTTAGCCCCTTCCTCTTTCTTGAAATATAGTGCTTGATCTATCAGTCAAAGGACACATGCTATAATCAGTGTGGAAAATGTTTATGGGCCCTGATTTAGGCCCAGGCAGTTCAGCATTTTAAAAGGTCCACATCAGTGTGTATTAGATCTCATACATATAGAAGAAGTCTTAATATAGGAGTCATTTCTCATAGATATCTGTAGACAAAAATATGTGTTCTGTACATGTAATTAATATCTAGAGAAGAGGTCCTCAACCTTTAGGGCATCGGGGACCGGTTCCATGGAGAAAGGTTTTTCCGTGGACCGGAGAGTGCGTGGTTTTGTATGCTGCATCCCATGAATGGGGTTTTGCTTGTTTGTGCGGACCAATTGCTGACATGCAGCGACCCGGTACCGGTCCACAGACCGGGGATTGGGGACCCCTGATCTAGGGTACATGTTGATTATGTCAAAACCATCAACTTTCAGAACAAACCATAATTCAATACAAGGGTATTAACAAACAATTTTACACAGGCTTAGAAAACATTCAATTTCTCAACAGAGTTATCCAACTGAGGGTGAGTGAAAATTTGCCACACTGTCATTTTTAAAATTTGTGTAAGGATGCTCTCAGGTGAGGAGAAGAAACAAACATGGATAGCTAACAAGTCAATGTTATTCAAGCCTGTTTAGATACAAATACCAATAAGTAAATCTCTCCAATATTTCCACTCTGAAATAAGACATGCATTTGGGGTTATGTGCTTCTCTGTTTTCTACCCTCAAGAATAGTAATCTCTACTTCAAATTCATTTCCAAAAAGAAGATTCGGAGTATCTAGGATTACAAATGTGGTATCTCTTTGCAACTCTTTAAAATAGCTGCATCTTTACCCATAACTGTGTTTGGGAATCGGAAAGCCATGTGGTCAATTAAAAGTACAGCAAACAGGTGGGCGATTGTTATGTTTGTGCCTCCCATCCACATATTCTAAAACGCTTCTCAGATTGGAAACTGAAACACTGTACAATGCTGACTGTAATATTTAACAAAAATAGAATAATCACCCACATTAATTTTGCAAGAGAATAAGTAAGGGTTATGATGTCATCCTCAAAACTTTCCTTTTTTAACTGGAAAATGATTGTATTGCACACTGTAGAAATTACTATTTCTATGATTGCCAACTGTGGCTGTATTAGATACCAAAGTAATGCTAAAATGCAAAGCACATTATCCAATTTATTTGACCAATTAATACACATAACACAAAGTCACCATAGTTAGCTACAGTACCAGATTCTTGCTGTCCTGCTTGTGAATGGTTACAATTCTACTTTCTCCAGAACTTTCTTGATTTGCTTGCTTAATACTGACATCTATAATATCAGGAAAATCACAGTAAATTTGTATGTCCTGCAAAAAACAAGAGCAAAAAACAATGACGCTTTGGAAGATAATCATTTTAAATATTTAGATCAAGATTTAAATCAATTCACAGAATGAAATTCTAATTTAATGTTTATAGATCTGAACTGCCAAATGCTTTAGGGGGCCCACTGCTAATAAATATATGTGATCATATGTCGCAATAAGTGAGGTCTTTAGGACAGGAGGACACCTCCTGCCCCCTTACAACATCTGCAGCAGAAATAGGGATTGGAACATAGCCATATGATCAAAACAATTAAATGAATAAAAAAACCTTCCAAAGGTTAACAAGTAGAAGGAATCCATCTGAATAAACTGTTGAAAGATTACTCCACCCTCAAGCATCAACTGCAAATTGTGGTGAAACAATTTCCAAACATTTCTCTTCTATAGTTCTAAGGAAAACCTCATGAAATACAAAGTTGTAATATTACCGTTAAGAGACAGAACATTAAAGGAAAATGTATATATCAATATCACAGTGAGAAGTTGAAAATGCCGTTTTCTGTCTTACAATAATTTCTATTGCTAAATCAGTTTTCTCTGCAGTAATAATACTGGTAATTTTAAGTAGTCCAAGTTTACAATCTTGCTGGCTTTAAGCACAAATTAAGAAGAATTACATGTGTATTAGTGCAGGGGTCCCCAACCCCCAGTCCGTGGACCAGTACTGGGCCACGGTATGCCAGCAACCGGTCCGCACAAACAAGGAAAGCCCCATCTACATGATTCAGTCAGCACACAAAACCATGCCCCCTCTGGTCCGTGGAAAAATCTCTCTCCACATAACTGGTCCCTGGTGCCCAAAAGGTTGGGGACCTCTGCATTAGTGTCCGTAGGCATATATGAATATTAAGAAGCAACATATAGCTGGAATTCCACAAGATTAACCAACCCCCTGCATCATGGAGATTGCGGAAAAGACGTAGGTGCCAACTTAGATTTACAAAGCTTTCAATCTTTCATTCTGCCCATTAATTATCTTCTGAGAAACTATCTACTTATCTACTGTGTAATTTTTAATCACTGTACAGTGTTGTTTCTAATTAGTTACTATGCATTCTCATGACAAAGCAAAATCATTCTGTCATCCAGTGACATCTTAATAGGTTTCTACTGAAGTAAGCATGAAAGAACTTGATCAAATATTACCTCATCTGCAAGCATATCACTGACATTTTGTTTTCCTCTGGAACACTGTATCCCACCATTTCCACTTATAATAATGGTTGCAAAAGATTCTGCATCTGAAGGTTCTCTTCCAGGATCCTTCACGTTAAACACTTCTGAGTAAAAGGCAGACTGGAGGGTTTCCAAATTAATGAGATACTTCAGTTTCAGATTTCTGGCAGTTGCTTTGCACTGGCTGAATTGCTGAATAAATTTCCGGAACCTGTACCTTATTCTTTTTCGTGTCAAAATATGATAATCTTGGATTTTTTTTCTGATGCATTTTGGCAAAAACATTTTGTAGCTGTGAATACAAGAACTACCAAATAAGTAATCAAACATCACTAAGAGCAATTCAAAGACAGTTATTTTTCTACAGTAAAAAAAATCAAGGGGTTTACAATTGAGCATTTGTATCACCAAATATTCTATCTACAGCCAACAGAACTAAGAACTTAAGGGGAAAAATAAATATTATACTGTATTGAAATATAGATAAAAAAAACCAATTCAAGTCTCTTGCATTTGGCTGCATTATTACCCTCCAATAAAATGAAGCACACTGCTAGCTCCTTTAAATCTGTCAATATCTGTTTTCTGCAATCCAATGTAGTATAATGGACAATATGTACATTTTAGAACTGTGGAGAGGAAATTGCTGACATACCGTAGGTCAGACATATCTTTCAGAGTTGTACATACTATACTGAAAGTTTTTGGGGAAAGTACAACAGTGAATAGAACTTTCCTCCCCCCCCTTCCATCCTTCCTTCTGCATTTTTGTCTGTGGACCCTCTAAAACAGATGACTATGCAGTACTGGGACGTGTGTGTTTGTGTGTAAAAGGAATAAAGAATTGACTTTTCTGCTTGCACAATTAGAGTTTGGGGCTTCTGCCAACAGATCTGAAAACCTCAACTACCGGTTTTGAAAAACAGTTAATAGGTTCAGAAACAGTTATTGTTCTAAATCTAATAATATCTAATCTATTCATTTTTTGGTTAAAGAAATCATGACAGAAAAGAGGAGAAATGAGTTGCCCTTGATACAACTCTTTGTCATCACTCCTTTAACTTTACTCTCATTTCTAGCAGAGGCAATTATCTTTGCCACCTAATAGCAATACTTAGATATGAATTGCAGTGATCTATCTGGATAGAATATATGAGATTGAGAATGTATTTTTACTTATGCTGTATATGTGACTGATGTGCTATTTCAAAAAATAATTACCTTACAGAATTGTAAATGGCTAATGGAGTTTGGTCCTTCTCTTTGGCCATTCTCATCATATCAAGGACAGCCATTCCAAGACATTCTTCCTGCGTTTCATGAGTCACAGCCATTGTTACCCACCCGTGGACAAAATCTTCTCGCCACTGAATCAAAAACAAGACCGAGAATTCAGGATGAGTGTTTCACGTGGGTTATTTTTACTATAACTTGAAAAATCTTCCATAAAAATCAGTCCAAACCACACAATTCAGCAGTATTTTGATGCTATTCCCAATCTTGTTATACTGAAGAGTATAACCTTTCAAGTATTTTTAGATAAGCAACATAAACATAATCAATCTACAGATCTATATAATGAGTTAACAATTTTTACCTGAGCAAATAGGTAAGACATGACAATATCGTCAAGGACGGGACTCTCTGCACTTCGAGAAACACCATACCGGTATGCTCGTACATTGCTGCTACAATACCAGTGCGGGAAATAAAATCTGTATAGAAACAGTATGTCACATATTAAAGTTTTTACTTTTTCAGAGAATAAAGTTATTAAAAACTAAATGAGATAAAATTAGGGTTTTGAGTATGTTATTCTGTCAATCAAAATTAGTTTTATTTTTTTAATTGTTACCTTTAAATTTTTTGAAAATAAACTTCATAAATTTGGCTGCTACTCAAAATTCATGGGAAGAACATTCACACAACAATTTTAGCATTTTGTTTTTCACTAAACCAAGCAGTAATTTAATGCATGTCAAATAAGTTTTCAATTTGAAATAAGATAATTATTTTCACTTAAATTGGCATTTATCTAGTAACTTTGTCAACTGACAAATAATTGTCAATCAAGCCACTAAGACAAGGACTGTTAATTAATGGGGGAAAATCTGATTCAGAGTGAAGCCTCTCTGGAAAGAATTGAAATTATTATGCAAGATTTTTTAAATAATAATAAAATAATATATATAAGGACTCAATAGGTGGACAAATATGCAAAATCCAGTCTAAACATCTGGCTGACTATACGACCAACCATAATATAAATTACTATGCTGAATGTAGCCAAGTTTGAAGATCAGACTTTTGAAGCAGCCACTGTAATCACTTCAGTCATTATTTTTTCAATGTTTTCCTAAGCCCCATATTAAAAAAAAAAGCTCTGAATTCCTGTTTAAATAAATTTCTGGTATAGAAATAAGAACATCTAAGAATATGGCTTGTGAGAAGAGAAGGCAAAAGTAGTTCTCTAGAGAAAGCTATTGGGCATGGTACAACTTCTGATGTATATCAATGTAATTCTAGATTCTGGTAGGACTGAAGAATAAACTTTCCTCACTACTGCCAATGTTATGAGGTTACGTTATGAAGCTGTGAAGAAAAGGTAGATTGTTTACCACATCAGCTATCTGATAAGGAACAAAATAATTTCATATATGTGTGAGATCAAAGACCAATCATCATGTCAGCACAACAACGTGGAAGTGTCCAACAGCCACTCTTCTAGTCTGAGGCAACTACTTCCATTAACTCAAAATTAGTTTTCAGATCTGAATAATAAAGGAAGGATACAAATTATCTGCAGAGTGACTTCAATTTGCCCTTTGCTTGCTCAGAGGCTAGTTCTACAGAATAAGGATATGAATCCTAACATACTAAAGAACTGCCCTTTTTGACAATGCACCAGTATCTCTTCATGGTCCGTATGTCGTACTTCTTCTACCATAGCTTGAATTACGTTGTGCCACAATTCAATGTTCTAGGACAAGTTTCTTAAAATGTGGTGCTAGGACTCCTGGGGATCCTCCAAAATCCTCTCAGGAGTCCTCAAATTCAGAATTATTTCTCAGTCTATGTTGAAAATAATACAATATCAAAATTCCATTAAATAATAATGAAAAGCAGTATAGCAAATTTACAGTAAATATAAGCTATAAAAACAAAATCTCCTTTGGGGTTCTTCATAATTTTTAAAAACTAAAACGAACCCTGAGGGAAAAAAGTTTAAGAAACACTGTTACAGATATATTACGTATTTCTTTCCTTTTTCCTTTATTATCCCTTTAGAATGTTTTTGTTTCACTCAATGAGATATATAACCATTAAGCCCCACTGCTACCTAATGTCAAATCTTAATAGGCAGTATTAAATATCCCAGCCCTAATTCTGACATATAATTTCAAGTTTTGATTTGATACAAGGGGTTTTGGTCTCAGCTGGGGAAGAAATTCGCCCTCTGCAACTGCGGACCTAATCAGGATACAAGAAGTGACATCTCAGTTGTTAAGACTGCCTGTAGACACAGGTAGTCCTCTCTTACCAGTGGTAATTGGGACCAGCAACTCCATTGCAATGGGAAACAGTTGTAAGGTGCAATGTCATGTAACTATGCCAACTTATGGCATTTTGAGCTGTCTCAGTTGCTGTCATTAGGCAAATCCCACATGATTGCAGCATCCCATGGTCATGTGATTGCCATTTGTGGACTTCTGCCAATTTCGCCATTGACTTCGCTTGTGAGAAGTTGGCAGTGAAGGTCACAAATGGCAATCACATAGCTACGAGATGGTTCAACATAATCTCAAGATGGCCACCAAGTGCAAGAATCATGATCACATGACCAAGGAGACATGCCAATGGCCGCATTTATGAAGACCCATCTTACATACCCCTTGTTCAGCGCTATAGCAACTTGAAACAGTTGCTGAATGAGTGAAGGTTAAACAAGGACTACCTGTGTACTATTTTCCAGGTGAGTTAAAGCCATGTAAAGGGCCAGAAAGTATTATTAGCCCATAAGGCATTTATGGTGCAGGGTACTTAAAGAAGGAATTTTACTCCTGAGTAAAAAGAATCATCAGGAGCATAAAAGATAACAAATGCGATCCTCCGATAACCTTCAGCTAAGGAAAAGGCTTGCACTGAGCACTGATCCGGACATTCTTGAACAGGGTTTTACCGAATCTTTATCAGCCATGCTGCCCTAAAATCTCTGAGTGATTCTACTGCTCAAGATTGTCAGTAAAGGGCTAAAAATAATATACTCTTATTTATGAGATCGAATTTGGGTCGGTCACCAGAACCAGAGGTGTACTCTTCCGAGCTTTCGGACTCATATTGGAGCCCATCTTCAGGGAATTTTTCTCCTACTGAAATACATGCTTTTGGCTATTCTGTGAGCCATGTTTATGTGGTGCCTTCCTACTGGCTGATTGGTGTGTTGATGGCTGGTGATTGGCTGTCATTTCCTTGTGCTGCCAAGCCCTCAGCTCCCAAGTATTTGATAAACTGGTGGTAATTCGGCACTCCTGTTAACTCTTATTTATGCCCATATATTAGAAACTCAGAGTAAAGGGGCGTTGTCTTACCTGAACGCCTTTTCTCAGCACGGAGATGGAGACTCCACCATTGGGTAGTAGACTGTATTCCTGCCCAATCAGATCAAGTCAGCCAAAGTTGCCACGCCCGTCCTGGATCGTGATCTCCAGTCTTTGACGCGAGCGTAGCCATTGACTGACAGCAAGACGTTGTGGCTCACCAAACTAACTG